TATTTTTGAGACAGTGTCTTGCTGTGTAGTCTAAGCTGGCCTCGAATTTGGGAGAATCCTCCTGGCTCAGCCTCCTGAGTACGGGAATTATAGGCCTGTAGCACCAGGCCCAGCATGTTGTGCCCCTTTAGAGAGGAGGATGTCAGTGGAAAAGTGGTTAAATCACTTTCCCTGTGCCACACATCTAGAACAAGGCAGAAACAAGCGCCTGACTCATGATCTTCTCAGCCCCACCCCACAGATGTGCACGCCCCGGGCCAGAGCAAGAACACAGTCTCACATGTACACCATTGACATCCCTGCTAGCCTATTAATTCTCAGCGTTTATTGGATGGTAAATAAAAAGTTCAGGAAAAAATCAACAGCATTTTGGTCCTGCAGTTCACAGAAACTGCTGATACTATTTTGCTGCAAAAACGAGGATCTTTAAAGCTACATTACTTAGTTGTTTACATTAACTCATACCTGTCCACCCAACCCTGTGACCCCTCCCAAGAGATCAACTTAGATGTGCAGATATCAGAGTCCCACAGCAAGGAATCAAATCCCACCTCTCATCAGCTGGATGACTTGAAAGAAGTAGTTCTCTCTCTTTGTCTTGGCGTTCCTGTATTTAAAATGGAATGAAAACAGTATACATTGATAGGATTATTTTAACCAGCTAATGTAAAAGCACTTTGGTTTGGTTTGCTGTATGCCAAGCTCTGGATCACTGTTAATTAGGGTTCCCTACTAACATCATGTTTCTTTCCTGAGCAAGCTTTGCAGCGTCATGAGAGTTACTACCCCCAAAATCTTGGGGTTCTTTACCAATGTGCAGCAAACCTCTCTCACAATTAACAGCCCTTTCTACTCAACCTTCTTCTTATTGGAACATCATCTCATTATTTTTGCCACTACTACTTTTAATAACTGTCTGCCCTCTGAGTTTCACGACATTCCAATTTGAAGAATGATTTTATTTTGAAGGAATCTAGCAGAAAAATGTCACTGTAATGAGATCTTCCATAAGCAAATAATCTCTTAATGACTCTGTTGTGGAGAAACCTTTCATGAACAACCTAAAGATGATTTAACACTCTAATTCAGAGTGTGAATGGAGGACTAAAGTGGCAGACCTCATGCATGCTTTGAAGTATGAATCATATCCATTTCATAGTTTCACAGCAACCCCTTACAAATATGTATTCAGTGGTTTGAAAACAATACATACTCCTGTTTTTATTGCTGTTAATGATGATCAGATAGGTGGGGGAAATTAAAATAGTCACCTTGTTTCTCGTGTTGGATTCTCGTTAGTTTGAATAAGAGGCTTTTTCTGGAAAATATTAAAATTAAAGGTCATTTAATTACTTGTAGAGGTTTTAAATATCAAAGAAATGTTAGAATTTCTGAAACTTTGTATTGCCCATTTGATTGCATCATGGGAGTATCTTAGTCTGTTTGGGCTATAATGAGAAGATACATAAAGTCGTCAGCTTATAAACCATAGAAATTCCTTATGGAGCTAGAGCCTGGCACGCCCAAGATCATGAAGCAAGCAACTTTGGGGTCTGATGAGGACCGACTTCCTGATTGCTCATGGCTCCCTTGGTCTCACTTGGTTAAAAAAGCAAAGGAGTAACTCTAAATTCTACTTTATAAAAAGGACACCCATACCACCAATCCTCCAAAGCCTTACTTCTTAACATCATCATCTTGAGGGATAAGATTGAGCAAACTGTGAATTTTGAGGGGATGCCAAGATACAGACCATTTTAGTGTCTTAAATTTCTTGGTGAATGTGAGTTAATTTGATATTGGTAAGGCACGTATTACCATCTCTGTCCATTTTTGTGAAATGTAAAAATTATGTTTTCAGTAGAAACATATTACTTAATTCCAGCAATCATTACTCATCTCAATTTCAATAGCCAAAGGAAAAGAATCTGAATTTACTGTCATTCTTCATTGTTCACTCAATCGACAATTCTATTTCATAAATATACCTCAAAATTATTTTCTCTGGCCTTGTTTAGAAGAATCAGATATTTATGCCTGGGGTAGCTGGAGGTAAGATTCATGAATGGTAAGATTCACAATTTGAGCAAGTCATAATATGAGTGATGGAACCCTGGAAAAAGATGTCCTCAGTGGGGATACAGTTGTTATTCAATTAAAGAGAAGGATTGACCCCCGCGCGGTGTGGACAATAAAGAAAAGTTCTGAAAAACAGATGTAGCTCCTAGACCGCAAATCTGCAGCTTTTATTTGATAGCCTGCCACCTTTCTTCTTTAGCATGGAAGCATTTTCTGTTTTCAGCCGCCTCTGCGTCTCCTCCACTCTCTCTTTGTTCCAGGATGACGTTTCTCAGAGCGCAGTGAAAACTGGGTCAGTCCCCTTTCACCGTAACTTACTGCTCATTGACAGATTGTACCCTGCTTAGTAGGAAAATCCATTCTCCACCCTGTCCAACCTGGCCTCTGCTTCCTTCCAGTCTTACCCTCACCACTGCCCCTCTCTGATGCTGTGCTTCACCATTATAAGAATTACACAATGTTTCCAAGCACAAGTTGGTGTCCCTTGTGGGTTTTGTTTTTTTCCTACTTGCAATTTTACTCTACAAATCTCATAGTTACTTTGAAGTCTCTGCTTTCATGCATACTTGCTAGGCTACATTACAAAATAATCTGAGAATACAGCTCTTAAATGCTGTATCTGCATTAAGCCAATACATTTGAGTTTTTAGTCTGTACTGGCCCACTTTATTATATTAGCTGTTTTTCCTCTTTGGTGCACAGATCTTGTCTTTTTCCTCCTCGGTGTCCAGTGTACAGACCACAGTAAGAGTTCTATACATGTGCTGATCATAACATTAACTTTGCCAACACGCTTTCTATATTCAGATATGTAGGTGGTTAGGAAAGAATGACGGGTGTTTGCATAGACATTTCTTAGTGGAATAAAATTACTGGGAGGGGCATGAGAATACTTTATCTCCACGGCAGTAGATTTATTTATCTTTAATCTTTTAAATCGTATATGGTCTCTATGTTCTCAGAGTCACCTTATTTTAGGAATTTCCAGTTGGATGTAATAAAACATAAAGCACTATATAGGAAAGAGGGCAGAAATCCCATAAATCCCATTTGTCAGTTGAATTCAGACAGCACTAATGCATGTGCGTCACCTCACTATTGACTGATTGGGCCATATCGGGTGGTATCTCCACTAGTGGCATTTAATGAGCATTTCTATGGAGTTGGGCTCACAGAGCTGTTTGAAGCAATCCTTTCTTTACACTCTGCCGAGGGTATGGTTCATAATTTTCTGACCTATGTGATTTATGTGTCTGTTTTCTACAGCTTTTGTTTTGGTATCAGAAACCATCAATCCTTCAGCTTCCCACAGCTGTAATGTTAACTGCCAACAGCATTGATTTGCAATTGGCATGAGTGTATGCTTCGACAGTTTTGTAATAATCCAGATCTGCTTTGGATGACAACTTTGTTTTACCACTGAAAATGCTGAATGTAAAATTTTTTCCTAATTCATCAATACAAGTACATTCACTTTAATCAAGGCCTCTAAGTTTAATGGCTGGGTTTTACAACAGAACAAATGTTGTAGTTAAGGATAGTGTTTAGAAACTCTTTGTCCACACCTGAAGTATAATGAGCTAGCTAATTATTTCTTCTATAGTGTAATGTTATGAATATACAAACATTAACACGCGTGTTACATGCGTGTGAGATACACACATATGTATATGAAGTATAATCAAAATACATGGTGAATATTTAAATTTTAAAAATGTAATCACAATAAGAGCCATTAATTGCCTACAAAACACTCCCTCTCACTTCCAGCACACCTATGCCGTCTTTCTTGGAACTTTTTGAAGTAGGTCTTCAAAGTCCTCTTTGGTAAATATATTTTTGAGGTGAATGCTACCTTCAGGTGGCATCCATTGAAAACACAGGTTCCTACCAGCCTTATGGTGTGTCTCCACCCACCTCACTCAGCTGGCTGGTACATTGTGACCTCTGGCTCTTCCTCAAAGTCAAAATGACCATGAGAAGTAAACAGTTTTAATCAGTTCAGAACATCATTGCTGCTACGGTAGGCAACTAACAGCACCAATGAAAGATATCCAGACTACTTTAGAGAATGGCAAGCAGTATGCAATAATTGAGTTCAAGGCAAGGGGGAGTGTTTTGAGGACAATTAATGACAATTTTATTTTTACTGTGAGGGATTTTTTTTTAAAGTTTTCACTATAGTTTTTGATCATACCTCATGTATGTCTTGTGAAGGAAAGCTGGATTTATCTCAACAATCTGCAATAAATTTTATTTTTAATAGTTAATGAAGATAACATAAAAGGCTCATTTGCAGGTCATCATAAACTATGTAATTTCACTTGTGTGTTCTTGTAGTGACAACTAACGTCACATAAGCCTTTTTAGACATCACAAACTTTTAAAATTCCTGGAGTGTATTTCACTTGGTGTGCAATTAAAAAGAGCAATATAATTCTTCAGTCTTGATAGACTCTGAGATAGTGATTTTGGCAGTACTACACCTTGGACAAAATATTTTTTTTAAAAAATTGTGGAGAGGTGTATTTTGAGTGAGAGTGCCAGAAGAAGATGATGTTAAGCAGAAGTTATGTAGAAGAAAAGGATAAGGAACATGTGTGTCGGTGCTAATATAAGTTAGTTCTCCACTAGAACACCAGAATACCTCGGTGATGAAACTGCGAAAGGCTGTGAGCTCTCTGGGGAAGATGATCTTGCGTTTGTCTCATGTTCAGAGAATTCATGCTTTACAGGACTCCAAAAGGAAAAACCCATGTGTGATTTGCCGCCCATCCACCACCACCGGGTTTTCCCTAACTTTAAAATATTTCAGAATTCTGGCTTCCTTTAACAGAAATGAAGAAAATGCTAAGAAATTATGGAATATGGAAAACTTAGGCATTAATTAGATTTTTTGTTTGTGGAACTTGATTTTTTAGGGAATGATGTACCTGGAAGAAAGACGACTTGTTCATCGTGATTTGGCAGCCCGTAATGTCTTAGTGAAGTCTCCAAACCATGTGAAAATCACGGATTTTGGGCTGGCCAGACTCTTGGAAGGAGATGAAAAAGAGTATAATGCTGATGGAGGAAAGGTGAGTATCCTTTGTGGGAACATTTCTTGAAAATGTAGTATGATATCAGTTTATCCTCTTATCATCCTATAATTTTTAGGAGAAAACCAGTGAATTTAAAATTTGGATTATAATGCTCACTTCTATTTATGATTTTATTGCCAAGGATCAAAAAATAAAACAAATGTCCACCTTTTGTTTCTCAAAGGTAGGTAAAATATGGTGATGCACACTGAACCCAGATGGTCTTCAGATGAGTAGCTGTAACAGGAAGTAGACAAATCTTTAGGAATTTATGAGCTGAAATGTAAATACAGGGTCCTAGAAAGAGACCCACTGATCCTAAGGGCATAGGATTTACTCCTACAGAGAGGCACTAGTTCTCAAAAAGTAGAGAGGTTCCTACCAAGAACTCATTTGAAAGAAGACCATTCTATTTAACTTCTACACTAGGCAATTTCCTACCCCAGGTGCTCTTGGATTCCAATTATCCGGGTATGATTTTTGATAATCTTTGTGTTCCTCATAATGTCGTTTACCCTCATTGATCATTTTCTAACTCCTCACTGGAATACAAGCTGCTTTATCAGAGAGGGCTGGGCAAAGCTACTTTGGTGACTTCCTCATCTACCTTTCTAATTTTCCAATTCCAGCCTCTTTTTTTGAGTGTATGGCTCAGTGCATACCCTTTACTTCCTCATTAACCTATTATTTAGCTTGCAACTCTTGGCTAACCAATTAGGTGAGTCTCCATATAGCAATCTCTTTAGTACCCTAGAGAAGCTTAGGTCAAGGTAGTCCAAGTGGAATGAAAAAATACAATCTTCCCCAACAACAATCCCCAGTGATCAATCAAGTTATTTTAAGATAAGGAAAGATTAAGCCAGATCTGGTGGGACAGATCCATAAGCACCCTGGGAGATTAAAGCAGGAGGATCATAGGTGAGAGCCTGTCTTAAAATCAATGCTAAAAATAGTTGGGGCTGGAGGTCAGTGCGAAGGCTCTGAGTTCATCCTTTGTTCTGAAAAAAGAAAAAAGGATTATTCACACATCGTAAAATGTTTATGTGCATTATTTATCATGAGGCATCCAAATGTGTAGTGCAGATATTCTCCTGTGATAGGATTTCAGATGCTTAGCATTAACTTTTTACTCTCAGGGCTTACACAACTGTAGAGATTCAAGTTTTATTTCAAGACAAGACTTAACCAAAATCTTTCTATAAAAAAAGAAAACTTTCCATTTTGAGGAATCATCTGGGATTTCCTTGATTTTATTAGCTTCTTATGCCTGTTTGCTACCAAATTGCAGTAGAGACTGTTGCTTTGAAATTCACAAGACTGCACAGAAGGAGAAGTTATAAATCATATGACTTCACTTGTCTTAGAAACATATAGCTGAACGATTTGTCTAAAGCAAGATTCATTATAGCTTTAAATGCCTGGTAACCATTAAGTCTTTATCAAGCAATCTGTGATTTAAACTTACTTCTTTAACACGATGTCTGTGGTCCATAAAGTCTGCTAACTCCTTCCCCATAGGGAAGTTACTTTCAATGTGTCTTCTGTTCATTCACTGAATCCCATGTTTCTGCCCTAGAGTTACCTTGGTGTCACCTTGTGAACAGCCAACCTCATGACTTCAAAGGCCTATTTCGTTTAAGCTTTCAACTGCAAAGTAGAAGTGTTTATTCCATAGAATCGAATTATATTTCCAGCTATATAATGCTGCCCCTTCCAGTTGAAATGCATTCTGCTGACCCATCAGCATCAGCGTGTGTGGGTTGAGTTGTTTTTCTTGCAGCAATGATGGATTTGTGCTGATCCTCTCACATTCTTTTATAGACCAGTTCCTATTTTGAAAATGGTACATATTATTAATGCTGGCTAACCAAGACAAGGGAGCTCAGCTGTGGCTCACTTTGGGATACACGATTTTAGTAAATTTAGTAGTGTGAGCAAAGATGAGGGGGCAAATGTAGGAAGCATTCATTGTAGACATGGTCTAAAAGGTGTCCAAAGGTGAAAAGGGATAATTAAAAATATAAGAAATCTCATTTGTTTAAGAAAAAACTATAAAATGGATACATTTTTGAAGCATATACGTCTGATATTTAGTTTTGAGATTGTGGGTCTTAATATTACATGCAACTTAAATTCTAAGCATTAATTAAGATTATAGAAATGTGTTACTATCTTGCTTGCTATTTTACTTTTTCAGTGTTTATAAAGCTTTTTCCCAAAACCCAATGTATCTTTGGGTTGACTATGAATTTATAAATTTCAATGTGGAAAATAGAAATTCTAATTAGATTATATTTTTACATACAAAATTGAAAATACAATTAAGGGTAATCAGAGACTAATATTTAAAAAATATAAAAATGATTTTTTATGTAATAACAGAACCTATTTCTCTACAGATGCCGATTAAGTGGATGGCATTGGAGTGTATACATTACAGGAAATTCACTCATCAGAGTGACGTGTGGAGCTGTGGTAATTTTCCTTATCATATGAGACTTATAAGGCAAAATAAATATTTTATTTAAAATATTTCAAGCCATATGCATTTTATTATGTTGGAAATACTTGTTTATATGCTTTATTTCCTAAAAGAATTAACTCTGCTTGCTCTCTTAACAATCAAAAGAATGTTATTATCTGCCTTTTTTGTTATTTCCTGATTCTCTAAAATGTGAAATGCTGATATCTCTTCTGCCATAATCTCTGGATTGCTAGCCTGAGCTTACCTAATTATTATTTTGGAAAATAATAGTTTTAATTTAGGAATAACTGCATATAACTTTGTGTCCATATTTTCAACAACTCTTTGAAAACATAACTGTAGATGCAGTGAATGGCAAGTGGCACAAGGGGATTTCTGTTGTACCTTAGTAAATATAGAGGCTATTGTCATAAAAATAAACAATTACTATAAAATAGCAAAAATAAAGATAATAAAGGAAGAGGTAAGAAGGAAATCTAATAATTGACAGTTTGATTTTAAATTCAAAATTACTTTTGGAGTGACAGAAATGTTATAGAGTCAATAATGCCAAATGCAAATATTAAATTTATTACATTTATTTCATTATGTTTAATTCAATCACATAGCAACTGACTACTTACATTTTTACAACTTGACAAGATTCAATACCTTTTCCAAGTTTTAAAAATGTGATACAAAACTCATATGTATTGCAAATAAAACACAGTGCTCATTTAAATAAAATGGGCAGTGTTGAGATTTGAAAGTATGGTATAATTTATTTTTCTCAAATTGAAGCTCAATTTTATCTATTTTCTTATTTTTAGAACAAAGACTTAACTAATCAGTAAGTAACATCCATGATTAATTTAGAAAAGCTATTCATTATCTTTAAAAATATTTAGACATTTCAGAAAGTGTGTTCCCATCGATACAACTTTTATATTTTAAAAAATCATGTTCTTTAAAAAATTATTTTGGACATTTCAATAAATTATATTCCTATTTATATGCCATAGGAAGTATTAAAATTTCCAAGATGACCACGCATATTCTACTCATCTTAAAAGCAAAAAATGTGTGTTTGAAGTTTAAAAAACACAGTAGAAAAGGGTGACATAACATCATTGTTAAATTACTATCAAGACTAAAGAGAAAAGACTAAAGACTAAAGAGATCTGTATTATATGAACAATATATGACTTATATGATATGAATTAGCACATATATTAGCATTTATATATTTCATGGCCTATAATTGCATAAATATAAGAGAAAGTAGATGTATATATCTTATGACATGTATATATCTTATGACAGATTTATGTACTACAATACATGCATATATTACACTTAAATGTTTTTTTCTTTTTTTTTTAACACTTATGCATCCCTGAATTAGATGTGACAATTTGCAGCAGTTAATTTTAAATGACTTCAAAGCAAGAAAATATTTGCATAACAGTTATATTTTGAGTAGTAAATTTTATCTTTTGGAAAAAAATCATATTACACATACTAGAATAGTTTTCTTCAAGATCACTTGCAAAATTCCAGGAGATGTTCAGTAAAAGATCAAACACTGTTTTGAAATACTGGTCATCAACATGCGTTCAAAAACACACTCGAAGCTTCCTGTGATATGCCATAGCTGATTGCAAGGGACAGAGAAAACAGAGAAAACTGCCTACTCTGGGTTACAGTATAATTTTATAGGAAATTATCGCCGCATCTTCATATTTACATAATGATGCACCAGCTATGATATATCTATAGATAATGGAATTGCAGTGAAGGTTTTAAAGATGATTTAGTTTTTCTGAAGGTATCCTTTGTGTTTATATGTTTCTGTTCATTAGAATTTTATTTTGACTTGTAATTGCTTTACATATATAACTGCTTGAGTTAATAAAATGTTCTATCAAATATGTATTCCATAAATCTGACGAAGTAGAAATAGACAGTCAGCCACCTTTTAACTTGTCCCAATCTCAAAGACTCTGAATCATAATCATTGGTTCTATGAAGCAGCTCTTTAATATACAAAACCAAGTAAGTAAAAAATCAGTAAAATTGTTTATAAGTTACAGGCTTTTATTGTGGTTAAAATCATAGGATGCAAATATTAACAAAATCTTGAGATAATTGCCAATGATTGTACTATGAAGGATAATTTGAAGTTCACGTATACTTTTAATTAAGGTATATGCTTTTATTTGCAGATAATTCTAACTTGCAAACTTCAATATAAATAATTCATTGCTGAGAGTAGTTGAAATGTAGCCATAATTAATTGGTTTTATATTAAAACAGATCTGTACATAGGCAGCCACCATAACTCATGTTGTAATATTATCATATCCACCAAAGCATTTCCAATTTAAAATTATTTTCCTAAAAAATAATTATTTAAATTATGTGATTATTTCAAGAGGCAATCTCTAGTACATATATTAATCCTTAAATCAGAATCATTATTTTCAAAACTGTCTATTTGCATAGTAGTGAGGGTATTTTTTTCCAGAAAAAAAAATCAGTCTGCTAATAGTTCCAGAAAGTCATCTTTTATCTAAGGAATAATCTATTCTTGATTCCTCATTTTTGGGAGGATGCCCACTTCATCTGTATTAGATATCTTACGTAAGGCTTTGACCTCACTCAGGCTTTTATATGTGCTAATAAATTAATGTTTGTTTCGCTTGTTTTCTTTTTACTAATTAAAAAGAGAGCTGCATTTCCCTCCTGTAATGTATGACAGTCATTCCAGAGAGCCAGGTTAGCCTTTTAGTGCTTTTATAGCAAAGAGGCTAATCTCAAAAACAATCAATACTATAGTTTCCCTGGAACCATATTTATTTGGTGCTGAACACAATATATAGACAGTAAATGACTTGTATTATGGGCTGTAATGTGGTATAGTGAAACATAAATTGAATCAGCAAACATTAGCATTACTTATGAGTAGAAATGGGGAACAGAGTCTGTATTCTAATAGCCACTCTAAATCTCTGCTATGCATGAAAATTCCAAGACAACGATAAGAGAATTGCTATGGCCCACAGAAGTTTTATCATTGCGATTGGTGTGATGCATACAGGAATCTGAAGAGTGTCTTCAACCTGCTTTGGTTTCACTGTTTGGGAACGATTTCTTTTATTTCAATGCCATAGAAATTCTTTGTTGAAACTGTGCTGTTAATATGCTTATGTGAGGATTTTGTTTCCAACTAGGAGTCACTATATGGGAACTGATGACCTTTGGAGGAAAACCATATGATGGAATTCCCACCCGAGAAATCCCTGACTTACTAGAAAAAGGAGAGCGTTTGCCTCAGCCTCCCATCTGCACTATTGATGTCTACATGGTCATGGTCAAATGTAAGCTCGCAAAATGGTTTTATTGGGTTCACCATTCTTATTACAGTGAGAATGTAGGTTCCCTCTATAATGTTTATCCATATTGATAAATCTAACAGATCAGCAATCATTGTGAATTGACCATGAAAACCTATGGTTGTGTGACTACTATTCAGATATATAGCTTTTATGCTGTTGTAGTTAGGGGTTGTGCAGAGAACAATTAGAATCAGGACATGGAGTTTATATTATTTTTATAATGGTCACCAGGAGTTAACACAAGAAAATGTAGGAAATCTATCTGCAACACCAGAGACATAGAATATTTAGCCAAAGGCCTGAATCCCACAGCAATGTCCCACATGAGTCCAGATGAAAACCCAGAACTCATGACAGTGCCTCCCATGAGTCCAACTGGAGGTGCAGAGCACACAAGAAGGACACAGGCCAGTCTCTTTTACAGATCCATGCCGGAAAGGCCCAAAGGTCAGCGGTGGAAGCCAGAAAGTCCATGCCAGCAGGGTAAAGGAGCTGTGCTGGTGGGATGAGGGTTCTATGCTGGAGCCAAGAAGTCACACTCACAACAAAGACCAGGGCTGTCCTGAAAAGCATCAAAGCCATCCTCAGCAACATGGAGGCCCCGAGCTCCTCTGATGACAAGCACAGTCGAGTACATGCTAGAAAGCCAGGGTGAGGAGTTCATCCTGGAGACCAAGTGGCACACATCTTCCCCTCCAGAGGCAGGAAGCAATGCTCGATGTGAGGACCAGAGCTTCTCCAGGAAAACCAACAGCTCAAACAGCAACACATAGGAGAATCCACAATGCCTCAACGCGTTAATGCCTTAACGCCTTCCTTCTCCTTCTCCCCTTCTCCATTTATGCTGGCAACTTTCCTGAGGTTGAGCATCTATGCTCAGTGCCATGCTGATGTAATCCAACTGGCATTAAGTTGACCACCAGTTCTTAATCCATAACATATGCTATGAAATCAAAATTAAACAACTTTAGTTTTCTTTTTCTTGTAATTCTTATGATAGTCAGATTGTCTGTCCCAAAGAGATACTGTCATGATAACATTAGTGTTAAATGTTATTAATGCTAGCATTAGTAATCTTTTTGGGGAAAAAATAATCGGACTAAATGAGCAATGAAACAATGAAAAAAATGTGAACCTGATACACCCAAAATTTTAAATGGAAATATGTTGAACAGTTTTAGTCAAAAGAAAATTAGCAGGACAAGGTGCAAAGTAAGAAATGGGCAGAAATAACAACACTGAACTAAAATACCATGAACATTTAGTTTTTGTCAACTTGACCATTGTTTACATCAGTCTCTTACTTTTCCAATTCCTTTCTATGCCCCAGGCACATATGTGTTTTGGAAGCCCAGACCCTTAATTTAAATAGCATTAGGAAAATCTCTGGAGTTTCTGACTTAATTTATGTGAGATTAACACACGGCGATCTCCCTTGGATAATCTGGATTTCCCCGTTTGGATTTACAGAGTTAGCAAAGAAACAAACTGGTGAAGGTGAATAGGCATCTTATTAATAAGAGACTTTGGACCCAGGTCTGCTCCGATTTATATTCATGACAAGTGTGATACATTCTGACAGTGAGGGAGGGAATAAAAAATGTTCTCTGCAGTTCAGGTCAGCCTGCCCTTTTCCCTAAGCATAGTTCTATTTACTCAACATTTAGTAAGTAAGAACGTGATGCCTCCTAAGAAGTTAACCTTTTTTGCTCCGGTAGCTCCAAAAACATTGATTTTCTCCGCATCTTAGCAGTAATAAACATTTTTAAATGGATGTGTATAGAATGTAGAATGAACTTACACATGACACCCAAAGAATTCTCAAAACAGGAATAAAAATTAACGTCAGGAAAGGAAGAACAAACCTTATAGCTTCATTCAGCCAAACATTGTGTGGTATATGTCTATGGAAGAGAACTTTAAAACATGCATATTTTATGTAATTTGTTACCATAGCCAGCACAGGACATGATTTGTATATGCTGATGAAATGGCGTAAAACTAGGCATACATTTTGTTTTACTAGGGAAAGTTTTACCTGTCCAACCTGGAGTTTTAATACATTAACTGAGGATCATCTGCTTTAAAAGAAAAAACAAAAACAAAGAAAATGGGTTGCTTTTATTCATGTCATCTCATTGGTTCACCAGCGCCTAAGAAGATAAGATACATTTTATTTAGACTCCCAGCTAAATAATAATAATACAAAAAAAAAAAAACCTGCTGATACCATTTTTGTGCTGGAAAGGCTAGAAATCAGATAAGCTAATGGCTATTGCTGAATAAACATTGTCAATCCTTCTGCTTCATTGTTTGCCCCAAAGACAGGAAAAGGAGTAACATGAGAAAGTTGGTTTCAGTTTCTTTCTTCACCTATATGGCAGTGTATCCTTGAAAACCAAAACTCTTCTCCTGCAGTGCCATTCCAGATATAAGATAAATTATATTACAATTACTTATCTATAACATAAAATTTTGAAAACATCACATAAAATTTTGAAAAATTATCCCCATAACAAAAAGCACCAACAGCAGAGGCCTCATAGCCTGGGTTCTATTTTCTAAGAAGAAACATAATTTTAAAATTGGGCCAAAAAAACAAATATTGTATTTTTTGTTTTATGGCATGTTATGTTTTGTTACGAATGCCACATTTTGAGTGGGAGCCTTATGTTTTGGAGTGTTTCTTTCACTAGTTTTCTTTGTCTTACAGATAATTTGTATAAAGCGTTTTTTCACATTTTGTCCATATTTTTCACAAAATTTAAATCCTGCTTCTTTTTTCTAATTATACTGGTAACTTTTATTGTGTGCACATTTGCAGGTTGGATGATTGATGCAGACAGTAGACCTAAGTTCAAGGAACTGGCTGCCGAATTCTCAAGGATGGCTCGAGACCCTCAAAGATACCTAGTTATTCAGGTCTGTTCACTGGGCTTTAAGACCTTTACAGTGTGCTCTGTTCTCTACACCAGGTGGATGTCTAAGCTTGACAACTATGGAGATGAACCCTACCATATTGACTAAGCAAATTTCCTTGAGGAAAAACTGGAGCAAAGGAACTTTTCTCCTTTGTCTCAGAACCACCTCTGTCTTCCCTTAGAACTCACACGCCATTGCTGCTGAACAGCCAAATACTTGCGGTTACTGTCACCTACAAAGAGTTATGTCCCCAGACAAACTTGGTGGCGCTCTCCCTTTTATTAGCATTGTTGATAAGTCATATTCATTGTAATAATCCCCAACTTCCTCACTCAAAGACTGTGTTTTAATCTGGTCCACACTTTAATACAATGGATTTAAAAATCAGTATACTTATATTTTTAAATGGGTGGTTTTATTTGTCCATTTTCTCTTTTATATTTTTAAATGGGTTTTGGGCCCATTTTCTTTTTAATTTAAGTTTATTGACACTATTGAGGTGTAGATAAGGACCACATTCATTATAGAGAATTTGCACCTGTACATGATATACCTTGATTTTTTTTTCCACTCCCATTGCCTAGCTTTTATCCCCTTCCCCTTCCTGTTTATAGGGCTCTGTTTTCATTTTATCCTTCTTGTCACATTTGTTTCTTTCCTTCCTTCCTTTCCCTCTCCCTCCCTCGCTCATTATTCCCTTTGAGTAGTTTCTTCCTATTTCACAGTATCTATCGTTCTTATTTACATTTTCAGTTTCTCACACCACAAAGATAATGTGATATTGGTGGAGAAGAATCTTATCGCAGCTGGTTTTCAGACAATGGCCTAATGCCTAGTACATATAAAGAACTGAAAAACAGACACTCCAAATTCAAAGACCCAACCCCCAAATGAGCATCTGACATGAATAGGCACTTCTGAGAGGGAGAAATACATGGAAAATAATATATTTTAAAAGTTTATGATATATAAAAATGTATACAATTAATTTTTATCAAAAACATTTTCAAGCGTGTTTTAATCTGTCTGGGGAGACATGCAGTATCCAAGCAATAACTGGATTCATATGAACTGTGGCACACCACGAATTAAACCACAGGCAAAAGAACATTTCACATGTAACACTAGATCAATAAATTGCATAATTGCAATAATCTCTCTATGATTATTTTCACTTAAATTATAAGCAAATGGACCTTTGATACACTGAATGTTTCCTCATTAAAACAAGGTGAGCTTTATCTTCAGATCAATAGTCTGACATGAAGATAAAAGCCAGGTATTTGGAAATCATGATTGTTAGCTACTTTACCTCAAAATTAATTTTCCTGAGCCTGAATTGTTGACTAAAAGTAGTATGACTTTGAAAATGAAAACAAATTATTTAAGAATAAATAAAATGAGAAGGAATGTAACAAAGGGTTTGGTGTCTTTCCCAAAACGATTCAGTTTCTTTGACAGTTATGCTATGATTTTATCATCAACACTTTTAATACATTACAGAAACCATTGTGGAGATTCTACATCCTGATAACTCTACAGCATCAAACCATCCTCATATGAGAAAGATTGATTTAGATCGTCCTTTATGACTTATTCTTAAAGTCACAGCTCATGTACCATCTTGACAGTGAACCATTACTCTCAAATGTGAAATGGATTTCACCTACCTCAGAACATCTGTAGCAGCTTTGTTTTATTACTTCCTAATGGCATTTATCACACTTTGTCTTGTATTATATTTCTCTGTCTTACCTTGTCATACCCAACCACGTTATAAGCCTCTTTATGGCCAGTAGAGGTGCCAAACAATTATTTTTTGAAATGAGAAATCAGTGCATGAATTTCTTTTTAGCCATTTGTTTTGCTGTACCATAAATTTGCTGTGGAGACGACGTGTTTTAAGATGAAGGGAAGAATCATTTTTTGTGTGTCTGATGAACAATCTTTCAGGGTGATGATCGGATGAAGCTCCCCAGTCCAAATGACAGCAAGTTCTTCCAAAATCTCTTGGATGAAGAGGATTTGGAAGATATGATGGATGCTGAGGAATACCTGGTGCCTCAGGCTTTCAACATCCCTCCACCCATCTACACTTCTAGGGCAAGAATTGACTCAAACAGGGTAAGAAATAATTATGTACATGTACTGGATTATCTTTGATTCTAAGCACTGTGATTAAAATACCTGTAAAATACTACAATTAATTCTAAGCACAATTTCAAAATGACTATATAATTATAATCATTGTGAGTTCTAGATAAAAAACCATTTGCACAAAAATACATATTATTTGTCATAGATATGCATATATATGTATATATATGTGTGTGTATATATATGAATTTATTTAAGATATTAGTTTGTGAGGCAAATATGGACAATACAATGTGTATTCTGAAATATCTTCAACATTTCAAAGAACATCATCTCCATTTTAGGTTAGTTAACACAAAGCTTAGTTTTTTAAAATCTAATTTAAATGAATAAAATTATATGCATGTAAATAATGAGAATTCTTATAGTATAGACTTTCTACTATTTTTTCCTTGAATCAAGACCTAATGCTTGTAAGCACTTTTCCCTCCTTGAAGAAGCATTTAATATTTCCTGTCAAGTTGACACAAACACAAAATACAATCATTGGAGCTAACTCAGATGTATTAAAAGGACCACTGAACCAAATTTAAGTTCTGAAATAATTTTGAAAAGAATTTACATTGTATTTTAAATATTCAATGCACCACATAACTACCATCCTTCTCTAGTAGCCATTGAATCTGTTTATGTTTACAAATTCATTTATCATCCACTCCACATTCATTAAGTATGTCTGCATGAGAAGCACTCATCTGTATTTGAGATTCAGTGAATTTTGACCTAATCCCTGCTTTAATGCAGTTTCCAGGATGATGAAATTGTCATACACACGTAGAAGCCGTGGCCCGAGTGACAGGTGCTGTGATGGGGCTCTCATGGAGCATGGGAAAGCAGTACATTCATTTCTGCATTTTCTCCCATCAGGTGCAAAACATGGCACCATTTTTTTTTCTGGGAAGCAATTTCTCCTCTTAGTCTCCCCCACCATCTCCATGATGGTTACTTGCTTGACCCCCAAGAGACAGCAATAACAAGAAAATATCCTCTGTTTGCTATTCAGCACCCATGTGATAGCACTCCTGATCCTTAAAAGAATCCCACCAGGTCCCATTCCTACCATCACCTTTCTAAAAATAAGAAAACTTCCTCAGAGAGGCTAGGTGATTTGACTATACTGGTCACAGAGCTGGCCAGAGGGAATGCTTACTTCTGACATAGTTGTCTGTCTGTCCCACAGTCTAATATGGCTTTGAAGTTTTGGAACATGATATATTCATGGTATGATTGTATTTCTTAGCATTGATCACCTCATTGTCTAGGACGTGTGTACTCTGATAAATTCTTCTGGTGATTTATTTACAGAATGCATCTGTCCACACCTTCCACTCTACGTTTACTTAAAAGTTCCAATAGCTAGGGACCTCAATTAATTATGCTCTTCTATGAAAAATTCTATTATTGTAGCCCAAACTGAAGATTTTATCTATGCCCACTGGAAAGCAGACGACTGAATAATTTTAAAAACTAAATTCACCGGTAGATAATGAATAGCAGACTCCCCGGGAAGTGTAAGTCTTTAAACTGTGTAGAGGCTGTGTGTGAAGGAGGCACGAATTTCCTCTCCTGTCCACTTCGCAAAAATGACCAAAGTACACCTCAGCATTCAGAATTCTAAATTAAAAATTCAAGTTTGATTAGAATCAGGAAATTCCAAGATAATAGCAAAACACTATAAAGTTTTTAGTCTTTTGCTTTTTACAAGAATTCATAAATTCCCAATTTTGTTCTCTTTAAAGTGTGATGTTAAATTCAAAGTATTCTTAAATGAAATTTAACTAAATAAATGGAATTAATAAGAATGCTAGAAGTCACATGAGATCTTATTTGATGTTAGTATTGTTCTCTAATTACACATTTATTTAAATGATCTATCTGTGAATGCATTTCTACTTTTTCAGTTCATGGAAAACAAATTGTGCTTTTTAAAAAATTGTTCTTTAATAGCAATATTTTTAGATATTTTTTAAATGCTATTAGATATCCAAATTGTCATGATTTGATTTAAAAAATTGGATTCAAGTTCATTTTATGGAAATTTCTGATATGCAGATGCTATTTCTCCCTTTATTTTCCATAAGACTGAGTTATATTATTTCATAGGTAGAATATAAATTCCTTCAACTTTAGGGGCTTAAGATGAGCTGACAATGTGATAGATTGGTTTTACAGCATGAGAAAAGCCTTTTATCACCAGAATAAATACATACATACATGCATACATTAATACATGCATATTGAATTTTAGATTCTGTGCTGAATTATGTACTATGAGAACTTAAAGTATATTTAAGCATATCTGGTAATGGAAGCCAAATAATATTTAAAAACTCAGTTTTTAAAAATAAACCTTATGTCTTACTAACCTAGAAATTCTATTTAAGTTTACAATGTAGGAAACCTTTACAACTTTCTCATCTTTGAAGTAAACAAAGCAATTTCTACCTGCTATGAATGTTAGGCAATTTCTGTATTTATAAGCAGGTACTACTATATTTTGAGATTTGGCCAAATTTTATTTGTACTGATATTCACCAATATCATATATTATAAATAATCACATTTTTATTACATTTTATACCCGTTATCTGTGAAGAGACTGTTAATGGAATGACCACTTGGCAAGTGTATTATTTCTTTGAATGTGTTTCAATATCAAAGGGCATCCAGAAATTATTTCTTCTGTAGTGTTATTACTTCTGTAGTGTTATTAAATTCCATATGAATTTTAGTAAATTACATAAGGTAGTGAATCAGTTCAAAATACAGTATTGATATTTGTCAAAAATAAAGGTAAACACAAATATAAATAGTGCTAGCGAATACTCATGTATTTTATAGCTAGAGTTATGTTGGTAGATACACTTTTACTAGACTCCCAAACATTTTTACCAAAGGAATATGCCTAAAGCACTTCTTCTAGCATGATGCAAACTGAAGAAAAAGCTACTTAGCATGGTGGACCCTCAGCACCCTGGAAATAGTGACTAACCAGATGAAGGTCTCTATGGTAAGAGAGTCAACCACCATCACTTCAGTTCTGGCAGAAACTGAAAAGCACATAGAGTGGAAAAACTTTATGTGGGGGAGACTCCAAGCCTGGAGAAGCTGCAGGGAGAATGATTAGAAATGAACTATCGATGTACATACGTGGCTTTTCCCTAGTTTGTCCTAGGTTAGCAGCAAGGGCAAAAAGCAGGGAAACTTGATTATTAACCGAGGTCTGGCCACCGGAGGGCAGTTGTTACTAAAGGTCCTGTTGTGCTTTGCAAACTTTTACTAGACACTGCAGAAGCAGTAGGAAACAGTAGTGCTTTCCACAAATTTCTCTGCTTTAACGCAATCCAACTTCCTGAGTGGCTCAATACAGGACAGAGAGGTTGTTTTCTGACCAGAGTGCTCTAAGTTGTGGGTTACATTTTTATTTTGTGTATACTTAAACTACTTCCCACCTGTATATACAGCCTATCAATTAGTTCTAGGTGTCACCTGGCCCTTTCTTTTCTATATATACGTGTGTATCATCTAATATTTTCAACTAAATGTTCAGTACCACTTTGAATTTTCTGCATCATTAAGATGGAAAACTCAGTCTTTTTTCTTTTAAATCATTTACATTTACTTAAAATAAGGAGTTAGATGTAAGAGCAACAGCAATGAATACAATGCAAGTAAATTGAGGTAGTGAAGATATTTTAGCTTTACTGATACCAGAAAATTTAATTTAATGTGAAAGCTTCAAGATAACTTTATAAAGGAAAGCATGGTATCACTGAAGGATCATCCAGTCATTTGTGATGAAAATTTATGTGCTTAAGTGACCGACTTCTTTCAAATTAATACAATTTCATGAGTAAGTGTAATTATGTCAATAAAAATTTTAAAATTATAAGCTCACCTAACTCAGTGATACAGACCAAGTTGATGACAGAGGAATTACTGCTCTATATGCAGGGGAAAAGGCTGGGTTATCACAATTTAGACCCATTTCTATCCTACCTACTAACTAACTGTATTTATAAATTTATATTTATACTCAAAATTTGGAAAGTTTCTAAAGTATGAGAAATAAACTGAGGATTTTCATATGCTGAGAAAATGTGATTCTATATACTTTAATTCTCAGCAATATCACTTTATTTTCAGGTAAGGTTTTGTAATTTTAATATTTTAATAAGATTACCATGTAGGACGGAATTACCTTTAAGATTTTTGTGGATGTTATCCCCCACCAACAAATCTTTGTTATCCCTCAGAGGATTTGTGAAATTATGCCAAATATGCTTTTTAATAACTTTAAAACTGTAGAAATTAAAGCAAAATGATAGAGCAGAAGCAATGATGTCATTGTTAATGATGGTGTTTGAAAAACTGAGAGTTAAATTGGGTTTGCCTTTATACTTATTAAATCAACGTAATCACCTCTTTATGAAACAATTTAACTGCTTTGAATTTTTATGTTATTTCACAAAGTCCTATGAATAACAACAAAGGTTAGTCCCATTTTAAGAGTTAAGAAAACTGAGTGGTGGATTTCAGTAGTCATGTGCAGAGGTCAGATCCCTAATCTAACAGAAAGGCTGATGAAGGGAGGTTGTTGATTTTCAGTAGTTAAACTTTGTGCCACTGATAGAAGTAGCATCCTTCATTCACCTAATGTTAACATGTATGAAAGAAACTAAACTGCAGGTCCGGAATCTCAGATTTGGGGTACAACTCAGTGAATCATGCTTTAGCCTTGTTCATATCAATTAGGCTTGGTTTCTCCAATCATCTATAAGCTTCTTCTAACTTGAACACTGTCTGACCATAGAATGACTTCCCAGAATAATAATACTTTTTGCATATGTATATTAAGGAATACCTTACATAATTTAAGAAATATATAATGATACATATTTAATAATCTTTAAACAATATATATTTTTATATATTGAAGAAATGTACTATTCATTACATAATATTAT